AATGAGTTACACAAATTCCGAGTGAAGCAACTGAATAAATCCAGGGGTGTGGAGTACACAGAAGTTCACTTGGCAAGACCCGAGTAGAGAGGTAGCACAGACTTTCGACGATACTACGTAAAGGAAAACCACCAGAAAAAGGAAGAACCGAATGGGACCGGGTGTATGGCAAAGCACTCTACCAACCAGGCTACCGGAACTGAGTTCGTCGAAACTGGAGGAAAAGGATCTGCTTAGTTGCAGATACTAGGGGATAATCCCTTCCGGGCCATCTGGATTGGAAGTTTGGGGAAAACCGGAAGTATAGTTGGTAGTCTGTATAGTGGGTGCTGGGGTTTGGGTGAACTCTACAAGGGGGTAGTAAGTAACTGGTAGTAGCCTATTGCTGGCTCGCAAGTGCTTGTTCTCAGACTTGGCATAAGATTACTGAATCTAGGTGAATCCGAATTGTGGGTCTGGACCACTCTAGCAACGATTCCTCGAGGATAAAGTAGTCCTAAGAGTATGGGTAAAGAATCTGGGACTTCTCGACTGACATATGTAGCAGAGATGTAACAGTGATACAGGTACAAGTTGCATTACAGAGAGTTTAATTGGGTAATTCAAGTAATAGTGGGTTATAGGTATGGCATTTAGTGTAGGACTTAGTAATAGGAAACTACTTAATTAGATGCTCAAAAGGCATATATATAGCTAGAATGTACTCTCTAATGTAATGGGGTTCCTTTGAGGCTTCAGCTGTGAGCCCTTGACTTGAATATTTGAATAAAAACCCTAGTCCCAAAGAGGCTAGTTGTAAAAAGTAAAAAAAAATATATATATTATTATTGTGGCCAGTTAGTAGTTATACTAAATTGCTATTACATGTACAATATATTGTGAAGGGCTAAAAAATCACTAACAAATCTTTTTTTTGTTATTAATTCTTTATTTTTATTTTAGATTTGTTTTTCTTTTTACTTTTTACTTTTATTTTCTTCTTTTGAAAAGCTTAATAAGTTTTAATTAGTAAAAAATCCCAAAACCCAGAAATAGAAAACTAAAAAAAATCATTATTGTAAGATGCAATAAGTACAACTTATAGCATTGATTCTCACTTTTCCAAAGCCCACTTTTCCGAAAAACTATTTACCTGACATCACATATGGTTAGGACTACCATTTTGTTAGTTGTAAACATATATTTTTAGCAAATTGTCTCCTGCGTGATATTGGGTAGATGACATGTTGGGGAAATAACTTTTGGGAAATTGTACTGTAACCAACTTATAGTACTTATAGCCCTTATAGCACTATGGAACTTATTACTTCTAGACAATATAGGAAATTATTAGCTATAGTGCATGATGTTTATATTATACAATAATGATGTAAAAGCTATAAAAGCAGAACCTTTTTGCATCAATAAAAATTGACTCTTGGAGTTCAAAGCTTTAAGTTAAGGAAATTAGAGTATTTAACTTGTATTTACTTTTATAATGTTCAATTCTTGGAGTTCAGAAAACCTTTGAAATAATAGAAGTGTTTGTCCTTAATGCATAGTATCTTTTATTAAAAATCATTTGTCATTATCATATTTTCTTGTCCCTGTGACTATCGTTGTATTTAGTAAAAGAGAAACTGTAATAATAATACCTTAAATATTAAAATCGATCCTTGTGATCAATATCATTATACCTGAATTCTGATCACAAGAACAAGCCGCAGTACCTAAGAAAAGAAAAGTTATAGTATTAGTGAAGGTGCTAAGGAAAGCAGAATACCGAATAAGAAGATAATAGAATACTTATCTGCATCTAGCACTATCTCTACCCATCCAATTAATCCTGGTTACTGAGACCAAGTCAATCGAAGCCTTAGGCCAGACCAATTTAATTCGGTGGACTACATTACCCCTTTTTTTGACTCCCCCCTCACTATATGTGCGGAAAATTCGGAAAACTTTTATTATATCGCGGATCATTTCGGAAAAAATTTTATAATAAATTCCCCAGCCCACCCACCTCTTTTGTAAGAAGGATGTAATGTAAACCACCGAATTAAATTGGTTTGGACTTACCAATATTAGAGCAGTTTAGTTAGTGAGTAGAGTATACATCGACTCAAAACTTTTCCGACGCAGCTTACGCTTTCTCAACGTAAGTTACTGACCAAACCTCAATTAACCGTGCGCTAAACCAAACTTCAAGAATTTTCCAGATATTCATTCCGGGATGCACATGATCATTGGGAGCGCAACGTGCACATTTTTGTGTTGCAACTGATCTACAGCATGGCGAACAATCTTTATTATACAAAAATTTTACATATTTGGGGAACGTCTAAAGCTGTGTCTAGTCATATGTTTCCATTTGATAAAAATTAGTGTAAGGGGTTAAGTTTAGGGTATGTCTTATAGTAAAATTGCCCTTCAGACGTTTTTTATTAACGCTCCGACACTCGTTTCTTGCTTACGTTTTCACTTCGGGCTGATCCGAATCGATTAAAACAAACATGACTCTGTGGACACGACGTAGATCCAATTGTATGTATCACATGATTTTTTGTTTTTAAAAAAGCTACGCCATCACATGAAATTAAATGATTGGTTACCTTATAGCACGTGATAATTGGCCAATGTTATTTATTATAATCGATAACGATTTTAAAATTTTTAGTTACTAGATCCAGATACCTCGCGATCCAGTAACTAGAATTTAATAATTATTATATCATTCGATTCGTCTCATTGAGACGAATCAAATGTTATAAAAATTATCAGATTCCAACCATGGGTTCATAAAATATCCTCAATAAGGCCATGCAAAGTTGATTTTTCGTTTAGCATTATCCGCCGACCCAGAATTTTCAAAATACCTATTTTTTTTTTTTTTTTTTTTGGGGTTTCAATTACGCTAATTATTCGATTTTTTTTCTTTTTTTTTTTTTCCTCTTTTTTTTTCCGTGTTTACCTTTATTTTCCTGTTAAA